AATACTGTGGAAAGGTGTATCGAAGTACTCAAATCTTGCTGGCGATGCTGAAGTATTGGTTCATCGCAAGATACACTATAGCAGGACAAGTGCATTTGCATGTATTTGTGTTAACTGAAACAATGACATGTTGTTTTATTGTAGCTTACCATAAACCAGGCAATGATAGTAGCTTTAATATGATAAGTAAGGTAAAATATGCAACTTAGAAAAATTTAATTTCATTCATCATGTTTCATTTTCAGATACCTGTTTTTTTGGACAAGCCTGCCACAACCTTCCCAAACTGCTGCGACTCCTGTAAGCCAGGATCTACAGTAGATGACACCAGAACACTGAAGTCCGGCGCGTGTCAGGGACATAATTAACTGTCTTGGATCCCGCTACGAAATCAGATTGATTTATCAGAAGATATTATAAGAGGAGAAGAAAAAAACAATAGTTTGCACTTTCCTCGGTTACTTTTAGTTAGTGGTTATGAAATAAATGTTTTAAAATTAGTGACTTTATTTTATTGCTGTGAATGATATCTCTATCAGTTGAAATATCTCTCCTCTCTCTCTCTTCACATTACAAAAGGTTGTACTATGGCTATAGACCTAAAAAACTAAGGCAAATAAAAACAACAAAATTTTTAAATCGTCAGACACGTGCTGACTAAAGTTTATTTATTTATAAGTCCGTTTCGTACTAGAGAATTAGTATTAGTTCTTGCACTCTGTATAGGCGTATCCTGAAACACAATTTTAATCATTAATATTTACTATATGTACAGGATCACAATTTAGAGTTTTATTTTATAATTTTAGTGTAAAACTTGTTGAAAAGACATACTGACAATGAAATAACCCAAGGTATATGAAGATACAACTTCAATCATGCCTATTAGTAATATACGATCCAGAAGCGTTAAGTATTAGTGCACTTAATACCTTAAACATAAATAAATACATGAGATGTACATGTCTATTCTTTCTTGAAAAAATCTTAAGGGATAATTGCAACTTAGTTGTATAACTAATTAATAGTTTGGTGGCTACTTATCTTGCACACAGTACTTATTCCACCACGTCGAGAGGCTATAATACACTTCCAACTCTTGGGATTATTTTGTGACACACACTATTATTTACGCGAAATAATCCAACATATTCAGGCTCCGGTATTTCAAAAAAAACTTGCATTTCCTGGAGAGTCTCACTTCGCCGACGATATGAAAACCTTTCTAAAACACGTGCATGCTCCAAAAAGTTTTCAGAAAGGCCTAAATCTCCTATATTTCATTAATTTATTAATAATATAAACTAGATGAACTGTGAAATGTTGCCTTTGAGTAACATCTGACAAATCTGATTATTTGACGTATAGGAATTCACTCTTTGCAAACCATTTTACGAATTTCCATTGAAAAGTGTCATATTAGATGAATTGCAAATATGAAACACTTTCAGTTCATATTATGAATCATCAAAATGTTGTCTTTTTATGACATGACATTTGTCACATATTATGATTCAGATATGAAACGTACAATGTTACCTTTTTAGCCCCC